CAAGTGATTAAAAAAGCCAAACAAATCCAAATCAGGATAATCTCCCCAAAAATCCATGCCCAGATATAATAATTAACCTGAAGAAACTCAAAGATGAAAAAATTTTGCCAGGCGCAGTGGCTCATGCCTGTCATCCCAGCATTTTGGGAGGTTGAGGTGGGGGAATAACTTGTGCCCAGGAGTTTGAGACCAGCCTGGGCGACATAGTGAGACCTCATTGCTGCAAAAAAAAGTTTTTTCTAAGTTAGCCGCACATGGTGGTGCATCCCTGTGTTTCCAGCTACCTGAGAGGCTGAGAAGGGAGGATTGTTTGAGCCTAGGAGGTTGAGGCTGCAGTGAGTTGTGATGGCATCACTGCACTCCAGCCTGGGTGACAGAGTGAGATCTTGTCTCTGGAGGGGGAAAGAGAAAAAAAAAAAGAAAGTAGCAAGAGAAAAATGATGCATCCCCTATAGGAAAGTGTGATTCAAATTATTTCAGATTTCTAATCAGAAACTATGGATGCCAGAAGAAAGTAGCACAACATTCTAAAGGTGCTGATTAATAGAAAAGAAAAGATTGCTTTCAAATTCTATATCCAGCAAAAATAATATTTATGAATGGAGGTAAGAAAAAGACATCCTCAGTTGAAGGAAAACAAAATATGTCAGCATATTTTCTCTAAAATAATTGTTAAGGCAAGTTTTTAGATAGAAGGGAAATGATAACAGAGGTAAACTTGAACAGCAGGAAGGAAGGAACATCAACATATAAATACCAAGATAAATATAATGGACTAGTTTTTTCCTCACGAGTTCTTTAAATTTGATGATTGGCAGCCAAAAATGTAACACTGATTGACATAATACGTAAGACAACTGCAACATAAAGGTGAGAATGTTGGAGGACCTATATGGTGGTAAGATTTTTACATCTCACTTGAAGTGGTAAAATACTGTTTCTAAGTGGACTATGAAAAAGTAAGTATGTATAATAATTCTTAGGGCAACCATAAAACAAGAGAAAAAACTACCCAAAGAGACATAGTAAAATATACAATAGAGAAAATAAAATGGAATACTAAAAAATGTTCTGAGAAAAGAAGGCAGGAAAGTGTAAAAGAGGAAAACAAAAGAGGGATCAAATAGAAAAAAAGTAATAAAATGACAGATTTAAATCCAGACATACAAGTAATTATATTAAATATAAATGGCATACACACATCAATTAAAAGACAGAGATAGTAAGAATTGGTTAAATAAATGATCCAGCAATAGTCTGTCTACAAAATCTCACATCAACTATAAGCATATAGTTAGGTTAATACAAAATGATGCACTTAAGAAAGTGAAAAGCAACTCACAAAATGGAAGAAATTTTTTGCAAATTATATACCTGGTAAGGGACCTATATCTGGAATATATAAAGTACTACTGCAACTTAACAATAAATAAAAAGACCAATTAACCCAATTAAAAAAGGGGAAAGGATCTGAATAGACATTTCGCCAAAGAAGATATATAAATGCCTAATAAGCATATGAAAATATGCTCAACATCATTAGTCATCAGGAAAATGCAAATCAAAGCAACAAGATACCTCTTCACAACTACTAGGATGGCTATAATAAAAAAAGACAGATAATAATAAGTGTTGGTGAGGATGTGGAGAGAGAGGAATACACTGCTGGTGGGAATGTAAAATGATGTAGCTGCTTTGGAAAACAGTCTGACAGTTCACAGAAAGGTTAACTATAGAGTTATCATGTAACCTAACAATTCTCCTTTATATTTACCCAAGATAAGACAACAAATATACACACAAAAACTTGTGCATCATTTTAACTTTTGTCAAAAATCTCCTTTAGGTAAAACAATTTTTTTTTTTTTTTAGATGGAGTCTCACTCTGTCTCCCAGGCTGGAGTGCACTGGCACGATGTTGGCTCACTGCAACCTCTGCCTCCCAGGTTCAAGCGATTCTTCTGCCTCAGCCTTCCGAGTAGCTGGGACTATAGGTGCGCACCACCACACCCAGCTAATTTTTGTAATTTTTAGTAGAGATGGGGTTTCACCGTATTGGCCAGGGTGGTCTTGAACTCCTGACCTCATGATCCACCCACCTCTGCCTCCCAAAGTACTGGGATTATAGGTGTGAACCACCATGCCTGACCTCCTTTAGGTAAAACAATTCTAAAGGAGACAAAGGCAGTCTCAGGCTGGGCAGAGTGTCTCATGCCTGTAATCCCAGCACTTTGGGAGGCCTGGGTGGGTGGATTGCTTAAGCCCAGGAGTTTGAGACCAGTCTGGGCAACATAGTGGGACCACCATCTCTATAAAAATGCAAAAATTATCTGGGCGTAGTGGCACATGTCTATAGTCCCAGCTACTCGGGAGGTGGAGGTAGGAGGAATGCTTGAGCCTGGAGGGTTGAGGCTGCAGGGAACTGTGATGGTGTCACTGCATTCTAGCCTGGGCAACAGAGTGAGACCCTGTCTCAGGAAAAACGAAACAAACAAACAAACAAACAACAAACAAAGGCAGTCTCAGACATCAGAAATCAAAGGAAAGAAGGGAATAAATTAGGTCTGCATTGTCAGCTCTTTAGAGTAAAATTATACACGTTCATATGTTCAGCTGCACATATAAGCCAGTTCTCCCACTCCTATTGGCATAAGAACGTAAGCGAGTTCTCCCACTCCTATTGGCATAAGAACATAAGCCAGTTCTCCCACTCCTATAGGCATAAGAACATAAGCCAGTTCTCCCACTCCTATTGGCAAGCCATTTATAGAGAGCACACTCTTGAGTCAGAAGATTAAATATTTTGGCCAGGCATGGTGGCTCGTGCCTGTGATCCCAACACTTTGGGAGGCTGAGGCAGGAGGATCACTTGAGCCCAGGAGTTCAAGACCAGCCTGGGTAACGTAGTGAGGCCCCGCTTCTATAAAAAATTAAAAAATTAGCCAAGTGTGGTGACGCACGACTGTGGTTCCAGCTACTTGGGAGGCTAAGATGGGAGGCTCACCTGAGCCCACAAGGTTGAGGCTGCAATGAGCAGTGATTGCACCTGGATCACTGCCCTCCAGCCTAGGGAACAGGTAATACCCTGTCCGAAAAAAAAAAAAGAAAAAGAAAAAGGAAAAGAAGATTAAATATTTGGCTTCATATCCGTGACTGCTATTTAGAAGTGTCTGAAATTAGAGGAGAATGTAGTCACCAACCCTACTATTTAGCAACTGACAATCTGTGTTTGTGCAAACCAGGACATGGATTTAGCAAGATTTTGCTGCTGCAGTTAGGGAATTTCAAAACAATATCTAGAAAGTTACTTTACTTAGATAAGGGACATAAGTATAACTTAGTGGAATGGACACTGAAAGATACTTTTCTGAGCTGATAATTTTTTTTGCAATGATCAAATTACTTAAAACAAAAAGTAAATATAAAGTAGGAAAATAAAAAAGAAGAGAGCTCATTTAGTGTCCTGGGAGCGAAGCAGTATCTTTTATTTACTCATTCATTCATTCACTCACTCATGCATTCCACAATTATTTATGGAGGGCCTACCATGTGCAAGGCTCTACACTAGGTGCCAGGGAAATAGATATAAAATTTTGCAGGGCCTTTCATGTTTCATTTGTTGAAACTGAAAGTAGAGACTAAATCATCTCTAAATTCCCACTGAGATGTGATGGCCAAAATGTACCCAAGTCTGACTTCCCTTGCTCTTGGAAAACCAGGTAAACAGAGATCAACAGTTTGTGAAGGTTCAATCTGCAGGGAAATCTCAGAGGACATGTCTCCAGGCTGTGTGGTCAGTCTTAGGTAGCAGAGTGCTCAGTGGGGCTCAGTGCCATTTTTTTTTTAACTTAATGGTGGCTGGTCTGTGGCCTCAGATGATGAGGGCTGGGGATATTGGGGAGGAGAGGCAGAGACTGGTGGTCACAGAGACTACCCTGGAGAAGAGACATGAGTTAGGTCAGCTGGACTGAGGAAAGAAGGCAGGAGGAAGATGGAAAAGGCAGTCCCAGAAGGGAAGAACTGAGGTGATGGGTTACAGAAGGAAGTCGCTGTTACATGCCTCATGTCCTACACGTACAGGAAGGAAAGAACACTCAAATATATTTAGAATAAATTTCTGCCAACAAAAGGGGACTTCTAGAAAAGCAATTGTAACACTGCCTATGCGAGATTTGTTTTTTGTTTTTAATTTAAATACAACTAAGAAGTTATATTCCATTCTACTTGAGAGAGGAGAGAGGATGTGTGTGCATGCCTGCGTGCGTGTGTGTGTGCACGCGCCTGTGCCTTGTGATTAATTCATCTAACTTATCCTTGATTATGTAACAACCTACTGAGAATATTAGGTACATATACTAGTGAATTCAGTAGGATGTGGAACCACGAAGTTTCAGGAATCCCCAGGGGTCTTTGGGAGCCTAGTGTCTATCTGAGGGTTAGGGAGACAAGTGTGACCATCTAGAGAAGGTGACCCTAGGGTGAGTGTTGAACTATGACTTACTTACACAAGGTACTGTCAAACCTTAAGAACATTAGCAAACTGTCGTCCTCCCAGCCTGGGGAATAGAGCAAGACCCTGTCTCTACAAAAAATTTAAAAATTAGTTGGGTGTGATGGTGTGAGCCTGTAGTCCCAGCTGCTTGGGAGGCTGAGGCAGGAAGATTGCTTGAGCCCAGGAGGTTGAGGCTGCAGTTGGAGCTATGATCGTGCCACTGCATTCCAGCCTGGGCAACAGAGTGAGACTCTGTCTCAATAAAAACAAAACAAAACAAAACAAAACAAAACAAAACAAAACAAAACCCAACCAGCCAAACAAGCCAAAACCAACCAACCAACCAACCAAACAAACAAAAGAACAAAGCAAACTGTCATCCTTGAAGTAGTAAGGCATATCATCATTTCTTAGGCCAGGTGATTCATTCATATTTCATTTTAAAGTTTATGTTAAAACTGTTTTCTGTTTGTGTATCAAGCTGACATATCTATTTTTTTTAAAATAGGTAATTTCATGCTCCCAAAATGGGACATAAAGTGGTTGTCTTCGACATTTCTGTCGTCAGAGCCTTGTGGGAAACTCGTGTGAAGAAGCACAAAGCTTGGCAGAAGAAGGAGGCGGAAAGGCTTGAGAAGAGTGCCTTGGAGAAGTATGTGTTTTCTCAACCTAGTCTTGTAGCTTGTTTGGTGAATGAGGATTTGGACAGGCAGCAGTTGCGTTGTGAAGGAGGATGCTTTTCTTCTGGGATTTCTCACTGTTGCTAACATTTTCCTCATTAAACTTCAGAGCCTTACACTGTTGCTCAGTACAAATATGCAGTTCCTATGATAGCAACACCCCTGGTTATAAGGACCTACCTACCACCCAGGCACCGTGCCAGGCACGAGGAAGACAGAGATGACGTGATAAATCCCCCTACAGTAAATGCTGTAGCAGGCTGCCTAGCTAGAGTTCACTGAGCTAACTCACCAGGCTGTCTGGCGCTCTGGAGACCATCTGACTGCCGTCTGGGGCAGCTTGGGGTTACTCTGTTGTGCACTTCAGCCCTTCCCCATTGAGCCGAATTCTAGGTAAGATTCATTGTGTTGGTGTCATTTTTACTTGGATGAAATGGTGTCATTTGCCTATCATATACGGTCATGAAATGTGAGTAAAAGAGAGTTATGTATATGAACACCAAGTCGAGTGCTTTGGAAAATTTACAAAGTAGAAAGATTGCAGGTGGCTTTGCATATGTCTGCAATTTTTATTCCCTGTGGAGAAACCAGAACTGGAACTCATGGATGATGCATTAGGGGTGCTGTTTATATAAAATAGACACAATGGGATTCTGATTGGCAGACCCATTCTCAAAGAAAGTCCCAACCCTACATCAAGTTGGCCAATGATGGTATATTTGCACACTTTAAGTTAAAAACAAGATGTGTAGGGGCCGGGCGCAGTGGCTCATGCCTGTAATCCCAGCACTTTGGGAGGCCGAGGCGGGTGGATCACGAGGTCAGGAGATCGAGACCATCCTGGCTAACATGGTGAAACCCCGTCTCTACTAAAAATACAAAAAATTAGCCAGGCATGGTGGCGGGTGCCTGTAGTCCCAGTTACTTGGGAGGCTGAGGCAGGAAGGCAGGATAATAGCATGAACCCGGGAGGCGGAGCTTGCAGTGAGCTGAGATCAAGCCACTGCACTCCAGCCTGGGTGACAGAGCGGGACTCCATCTCAAAAAAAAAAAAAAAATATTCGTAAGGTGCGAATGTATCTACATTCTTGGTTCTCCACTTTTATTAGCTTTTTGGATTAAACAAATACCTATTCTGATCATGCTTGATAATTAAGCTGCTACTGTATTCATCACAGTGGTTTCAGGTGGTTACCACCATCCCTAATTTGCAGATGAGGAAACTGGGACTTAGGTAAGTTGCTCAAGTTCACACACATGGTAAGCGGAAGATGTGGCCAAGCCCTTGCCTCTATGTAATGCTGTAATCACAGGTAGTTAGAACATCTTTTCTCTTGCCACTAATCTGAGATTGTCCAATATGAAGTAAAGGATTGCTTGAGGAGTTTGAGACTCGACTGGGCAACATAGTGAGACTCTGTCTTTACAAACAACAAAAAAGAATTAGAACCCTTAAACCAGAAAGCCCACATGGCAATGCATCCAAGAGACCTACACTCACATAAATCATACAAGGTCCCAGAGCCCAAATTAGCCCTGAGCCCTGCTTCGATTTCCTCCACACACCTAGCATCTGGGGTTACTCTAGACAGAACAAGCTCGCTGCACGGAGGCCCACGCCATTGGCAGTGGGGAGGGGAGTTAGGGAACACCTGTAGCTGATTCAACTTACTGAGGGTCTTGGAAGAGGAGCCACCTGCAGACACCTGGGGTCTGCAAACTGTGTTCTCTTGTCCGCTTTGGAGTGGGATCTGCCCCTTCATCCCTGTCTTTTGTTGTGGTGTTAACAGCTTCGTGCATCTCATGTACATAGGTTTGAGCTTGACTTGGGCTCAGTGTCACTGAGCTTGTGCAGTATCTCATCTTAATCTAAGACGGAAAACTTCTTGGGTATTTATTTGGCTTTTCTAGCCCAAGATAAGAAAAACAGTCACCAAGTTGGCTGGGCAGATAAGGAGGAATGTGAGGTAGGGCTAGGGAGGAATGTGCATGTTTAAGAGAGGAACTTAGTTTCTCAGGCTCCTCAGAAATGGGGGTAAGTAAATTTGCCTTCTTTACAGGTGTTTTTGAGCTTCCATAATATAATTCATACTCTGATCATTAGTACTATTTGAGGGTTAACTTTTCGTTTCTCAGGATCTGTTTACTGTGCAGAGGAGGAAATAATAGGTTGAAAAATTAATGCTTGCCGGATTATAAAAGGCAACTATTTGGTTAATTTAAATTTACTGAAACAAATAAAACCTTCCAGCTTGTTCTGTTACCTCACTTTAGAGTATCTCATCCTGTAATGCTGTAGTTGTTCCATGAAGTATATACCGACACTTAAAAATTATAAGTAGAGATAAAATATGAAATATCACTCTCTCCGAATGAAACTGGATCATTTAGAGCAGAGGTTCCCAAGCCCTGGGCTGGCCTGTTAGGAACTGGGCCGCACAGCAGGACCGCCCGAGCTCCGCCTCCTGTCAGATCAGTGGCAGCGTTAGATTCTCATAGGAGCACAAACCCTTTTGTGAATTGTGCATACGAGGGATCTAGGTTGCCTGCTGCTTATGAGAATCTAATGCCTGATGATCTGAGGTGGAACAGTTTTATCCCGAAACCATCCCCCCAACCCCTCATCCGTGGAAAAATTGTCTTCCATGAAACTGGTCCCTGGTGCCAAAAAGTTGAGGACCGCTGATTTAGAGGGAGAAATTAAAGAGTTATTGTTAGGCTCTAAGTGAAGATTTTCTTCTCCATTGAGGCTGTTTGCCGTCTGGGCTTAAGGAAAAGGTATTTTATTTTCACATTTATTGATTTAATTAGTAGAACTCTAATGGCATTTTTTTGGGTATGTTTATTGAATATTTGGCATTCTACTAAAACTGAGTTGATAGGAAGATTTCACGTTCAATTATACGGGTGATAGAGTGAAAAGACAATGAATTTTATTCATTTAAATTACTCTCAAGGAAGAGAATGGAATTAAAAAAATAGTTTATATTTCCTTCACTTTCCTATCATTAGGTTTCAAAGGGAATAAGATATAAAATATTTAAGAAAGAAAATAAGACATAAAATAAGACAAAAATACTTAAGAAAGAAATAAAAAATAGATTTGGTATATAATTATTTTTAATGGGGTACATCTAATTTTCTTTTTTCTCCGTTTTATATTGGCTGTACCAAAATATGTGAAATATTTATAACAATTTGTAATATGTGCTATAGGAATACTATATTACATAGGGAAGAACTGGTATCATCTCATTATATTGCTAGGATCTGCCCTTAGGTTCAGTCTAAGAAATGAGGAAAGAAAAGGTAGAGACATTAATCTGAAAAGTGCCCACTGAATACAAGAACTTGCAGTGACTGTGCTGTTGGTTTTAAAAATTTTGGAGCGATTGCTTCTAACAGAAGTTCCAGCAGCATGTCTTTGACCTAGAGTCTGCCCCTTGTCCTGACTGCTATAGTAAGATCTAAATCTACAGGTAGATATTTAAAATTCATTTTTATCATATAGTTATAAAACTAAATCCCACGGAAAAGCTAATAAGGAAAAGCAACAATTCCAAGCCCCTACCACATCTCCCAGAGGAGCCCACTTCTCTTTCAGCACTTTCTTCTGCTTTTAAATTCGTATCCCTTCATGTGCTGACACACACACACACACACACACACACACACATATATATATTTTTTAATTTTTTTGAGACAAGTCTCTTTCTGTTGCCCAGGCTGGAGTGCAATGGTGTGATCATAGCTCACTGCAGTCTTGACCTCCAGGGCCTAAGCAGTCCTCCTAGCTCAGCCTCCTGAGTAGCTGGGACTAGAGGCATGTGCCACCAGCCCCGCTTTTTTTTTTTTCTTGTGATTTTTTTGTAGAGACAGGGGTCTCACTTTGTTTCCCAGGCTGGTCTCAAACTTTGGCCTCAAGTGTTCCTCCCACCTGAGCCACCTTACCTGGCAATATTTTTAAATCTATCACTTTCGTTACATTACTTATAGACTTCATATGTAGATCCTGAAGCCCCGACTCATTGATTGCTGGGTACTTTTCCCTGACGCAGCTCACTGGGACTGAGACCTATAGAGCTGTGCCAGCCAGTGCTGTCAGCAAAATACTTTTTTTCAAATGTTCCAGCTTCCCTCAGCTGAATGGCAAGCATGAAACTCCAGCAATATCTGAAATGGTTTCTTAAAAGCAAAACATCTGATTAAGAAGGTGACATTTGCATGTAGACCTGGGGAGCCAGCCTTGTAGAAATCTAAGAACAAGGGTTCCAGGCAGGCAGAACAGCAAATGCAAATGCCCTGAGGCAAGCGTTTTCCCGGATATTCAATGAAGAGCAAGGAGACCAGTGCGACTGCGCCAGAAGATCAAGTGAGGGCAGAGGGGATGAGGTCAGAGCCACAAGGGGAGGGACACAGGTCTGTAGGGCCTTGTAGATCATGCTGTGTGAGAAGAGAAGCCAGTAAGAGGTGTGTGTGGGCAGAGGCATGATGTGATTGACTTTGTAAGAGGCTCACTCAAGCTGCTGGGTGAGTTTGGACCACAGGGAGGCAGGGGTGGTGACAGTAAGCAGAAGATAGTGGCTTGGACCAGCGTGGAAGCAGTGAAGATGATGAGGAGTGGATGGATTCTGATAAAACTGGCCATATTTGTTGATGGATTTGATATGTGGTATGAAGGAAAGCATGGAGTCAAAGATGACCCTGAGATTTTTGGCCAGAGCTGCTGGAAGCCTTTTACTGAGTTTTGGGGTCGAAGATCAGGAGTTTGTGCTGATCAGAAGTTTGTCACTGGGATCACACGTTAACTTTGAGATGCCTTTTAGGCATCCAGGTGGAGATGTTGGAGAGGCAGTTTGATACAGGAGGCTGGATTCAATGAGAAAGTCTTGGCTGGAGATATACATGTGAGCATGGTCAGTATATAGATGTATTTAAAGCCACAAGCTGGAAGGTATCTAAAGAACGAGTT